CCCCCGCTCTAAATCTTCCCTCCCTCCAGTGTAGGGGGAGGGGAGTTGTGACAACTGCACCTTACACCTGGGGTGATGACTCAGGCAGTGGTGCTCTAGCTCCACCTGATGGTCAAAGGTTACAGTCACTCTTGTCTGTCGGTGCAGAGCTCCTCCTGCTGGTCGGGACAGAACGGTGTGTTTTTGATCAGGATCGAGATCAAACGATCGGATCTGAAGTTTTCAAACTGAGATTCTCAGGTGATGTTTCAGCTGATTCACTTCTGCCCCCTTCAGGACGCTCTTGGTCTGACCACACATTCAATATTTGAAAGTAGTTTCGGTCAAATGTGCCATTTATCCTGTGTGTTCAGTCGTGTTCCCATCAGGCTCCTGTCACAGGAGGAATCGGATCACGTCCATCACAGGGTGACATTTCAAGGACTTCTGACGGGATTTTTTTTCCCTTTTTTATCCAAATGGAACGATTGACACTGAGTCGGCAACAAAACAAAACAGGTTTAGAACCATTTCTCCTGAGATGAACCATCACAGAGTACCACAGAGTACTACAGAGTATCAGAGTACCACAGAGTACCACAGAGTACCACAGATCTGACGGGATTTTTTTTTCCTTTTTTATCCAAATGGAACGATTGACACTGAGTCAGCAACAAAACAGAACAGGTTTAGAACCATTTCTACCACAGAGTACTACAGAGTATCAGAGTACCACAGAGTACCAGAGAGTACCACAGAATACCACAGAGTACCACAGAGTACTACAGAGTACCACAGAGTACCACAGAGTACCAGAGAGTACCACAGAATACTACAGAGTACCACAGAATACTACAGAGTACCACAGAATACTACAGAGTACCACAGAGTACCAGCTCCTCCTGTGTCATCTCCATGACAGTCCTACAGTGTATGGATGATATTTCCCGTGGTTGCCATGGCGCCTGTCATTACCCCCAGTGTGGTTGTGAATCCTCCACAGAGTGAAAAGGCCAACTCTTCAGAAGAACTCTTTTTTCAGTCTGCGCCGCGAGGACGGAGCAGCGTTGTAATGTTAGCTAGCCTCGAGGAGGAGGACAAAAAAAAAAAGACTAAAAGCCTTGATGAGTGAATGGTGAAAGAAGAGGAACACAGGGCTGAGGTTACCCATGATGCACCAGGGTAGCTGGCCGTTGTTGATAACACCAGGGTAACAGAACTGTGAGGAGAAGCCGAGTCCAGATGAAAACATTGACAGAACAATTACAGCCCGGTGTCGTCTCAGAACAGACGTCATTATCAGAGACAGAGACGGTTATGGATCAGCAACAAACAGATGTGATCAATGGACTCACTGATCAATGGACTCACTGATCAATGGACTCACTGATCAATAGACTTATTGATCAATGTCTTTTGTGGCGTGTACTGTTTAACTGCGACTGCTCTGATGCTCCTCACAGCACACCAATAAAAATCTTTTATTCCAGGAAAGAAACCTTCGTACTTCAACACGGCTGCAATAAAGTTGAATAAATAAAACTGTGCCCAGAGCAGAGTCTGTGTCTCTCTCTCTCTCTCTCTCTCTCTCTCTCCAGGACATTTGTATCTGAGTTTGGTGAAAATAAATCAGAGCCTGAAGTGAAATCACTTCATGGTCACAGTTCAAACTCAGGCCTTTCCTCTTCATTGTTAACCTCCTCCAGTCAGTCTGACAGCTGACTGAGTCTGTAACTACCAGGATAAATCACCCCTCC